GTGAGATGTACTTTTTGATGGACGACAAGTGTCAGGAGTATGTTTTCGATATTCCCGTTGTACGACAACGAGGTCGACTAGGGGCCAGGGTTTGAGTGGGCGCGGGACAACGATAACGACGAACCGTCACGTAACGGCAGATTTTCGCGCCGGAGAAGGCCGCGTTTAAGCCGCGAACGGACTTATTCTCAATTCACTGTCAATTATCAAATTATGGCCGTTGTCGTGCAGATTAGCGTGACTTTTTCGTCTTTCAGAACGACCTTTGCGAATCGCGGCACGCGCAAACCGCGCGTGGCGAAAAGGAAAACCACCATTAGAGCTGTAAAATTAATTCCGATTCTCGCTGTCGGCGAACGTGACGGATTCTCTTCGGTGGCACGTGTGGAATATGAATTCGACCGTGCCTGGCATATTTTACGAAACCCGAAGGAATGCTGCTGAAAGTCGCGAAAGATCTTTTCGGACGCGGCGTATCTCTTATGAAACACGATACACGGCAACTGACACGACGCTGGCGGCCGACGTGTGTCCCGAAAATTAACGTCCGGTTTCACCAACTGTCGCTTAACTTCAATCTCGGTTTACGTTTGTCTCTTTCTAAAGTAACAGTTGGAAAGAGACAAAGAACGAATTAAGCTAAGCTTAAAGTTAAACAATGTTGGTGAAACCGGACCTAAGTGTCTTTTAAATATTTCATTTACAATACGTTTATCAATAATATGATAAAACATTTTTCCGTGAAGCGTAAACCTTGAGATTTGTAATAAGATAATTTACAATATTTCGAATAAAGAAAATTCGAATACATATATCTATGAATTATAACAAATATGGGATTTAATATTTGTCTGGCAATGGGAAAGAATTTACAGGATTTAGAAATTTGTCGTATTAATTCGCATAAAAAAATATAGGTTACCACTTATTTTATAGGTCGTGTGTTACGTAACTGTGCAACATTAGTAATTCTGGGCCACGTGAAGATATCGTTCGGTCAGCGATTTTTACGTGAGTTGATTCTTTCACGATTTTTGCAAGAAAAAACATGAATGAATCATCAAGCTACATGAATAAATCTCCTCCTCTTGTCTATTACAAAATGACTTTGTACGTAAAAGAAAAAGTATACGACTCGGTCGAGGCGGTAAGTGCATTAAAATTCAGGGAACTCTACTACGTCCGGTGTATACGTTGGGAGAGAAACTTAAGGTCTTTTATCGAAACTTTCGTCCAAGTTTCGGGGATAAACATGGAGAAATGTAAATACATCCAGTTATCGTTAGTTATGTTGAGAGGAGCAGATAAAAAGGCCCTCGGGGATTTATCACTAGCACATGATGCTTTTTCTAATCTACGTTAATCTCTTTTTTCGCATAAATAATACGTAACGAGTGATAAAGCGTATGCGTGGAGATAACGACTTGTGATACGACGAAGTACTATACTCCTATAACTTCATCGCCTCTTTAATATAATTTTGCGCAAGTTATTTATAATAATTTACATTTGTTAAAAAAATTTTTAATACGCTACAATGGCGGGGAATTGCGTGCATTGTTCACAAAGTATTCGTGTTCGTGTAATTACGCGCCGCGGACAAATATCCATTGTTAGGTTTACACTTTCGCGAAATCGATTTATCCGAAGGTCGGTTTATCCGGAAGTTAAATGGGATTGCGCGAATTTTACATACATATTGCGTCGCGACGGCGCGGCTGTCGTAACATCATAATAACTCGGTACAAGCGTTTGTAAACTTGCACCATGAGGCGTAAAACGCTTCCAGTGTTCGCCGCATAAGAGACTTTCACCTCGTGCGAACCAATCATACACACTCGTGAGTTCACGAGTTCGATTCAATTTTGCCACTATGCATTTTATCGCATGACACGTCGTCTTTCTCTCAACGTTAAATTACTTCCGCAAGGAAAATAATTTCTGTTCGGCGGAAAAGCATCCGTATTGTGGTCATATCTCGCATCCATTTTTAAAACCTTTCAATACATTTAGGCACATTCAAATTGGATACAAGACTATAAACGTATACGCAATATTCCTCATTCGTAATTACATAATAATATATACTTATATAATTTTAATTATATATAAATTGCATGTAAGATTGTAGGGTAATTTTTCTTCTGTTTCTTCAAATGAATGACTGATAAATAGATTACGTTAGTATTGTGTAACACGACTGTAAATTGAATTGCTAACTGCCAACCAACAACGTAAGTTTTATACATAAACGGCTGCGGAGTTAAAGATCGCTAAGCAGCGCGCAAAAGCATGCCGAACATTATTGTCGTAAAAACGAGGATATGGCGATGTTATCATTATGATGCATTATGTACATACAACTGCATCTGATGGCCACAATGCCGTAATTAAACATAAGTTCATTCGCTATGCACGTGCAAATTGCAACTGCACACGAATCGTGGAAAAGTTTTTGTGCTCGCAAGTAACAGTTGCAATTTGTAATGCAATTTAAATTTTACGCGTCAGGGCGAACTTCTGTACTCTTGTTTGATAAGTCTCTTTCGACACGAGTCAAGTTGCCATGGGGTACTTTGCCGACTACTTTTACGAGATATTCTTTACAGTCGAACGCAAGGTCAAGTTTGTCGGAGGGAAACAGCGTGATATGTAATTATATGAATATTTATTAATCGCAGCTCGCTAAGATTAATACTTTTCCGAAGAGAAAAAGGATTCTTTTTTTTACGACTCGACCTCTCTTTTTTTGCCTCTGCGCGGCGCAATGGCCGGCCGGTTCTCGGCGTAACATCAACGCCTGGTACGTTTTATCACTGGCTGTCCCTGCGTGCATTGAAATCGCGAGATTTCTCGTTGCGCTAAAATGTCACGTTCTTTCATTTGCATAGCTGAACCGCAGCCTTAATACACTCGTTCGTGTCGATATCGCGATTTGCCACGGTAGCCGATAAACGTTATAATGCTCCAGATCCGACGCGGATGTCAGCTTACTAGAACTTTACTTAATAAAACGGAATGTCTAATTTAGACATTCGAAAGAAAAGATAATTATTAGCTGCGCGTTCGTATCGATTTTATTAAAATTTATGAATCTGATGCTTGTAAAACTAATTTACAACTCTCGAGTGGTTGCCTTGTCTTGACAAAAACCCATTTTTTTCTAATTAATATTACGCGCAATATTAAATATAATAATTGACATCAGATTATTCCGTTAATATACAACTTATTATCTAAATAATCGAGGAAAAAGATGGCAGATAATCGCACGACTAAAGGTTTAATTTACCCAACATTCGTGATAACGCAATAATTTAACAGTCTTTGTCATCGTCCTTTCTATTTTTCCAATTATTCTGAGTTGTCAGCGTCAACTCGACTGTATAGTCTCGTTTTCTAGACAACACTGTTTGGATAATCGAACGGTTTCAAATAATTCAACGGTATTCGTACGATGCAGAGATGTTTTACTGTGCAATTTAATTTATTTCGTTTATAATTGTCTATAAAAATTAAGAGAACTTTCCTGCAAAAAGGTGTAAAATGTGGATTGTACGTTGGTATCTATATCTTTAAATCATGATAATAAATCAAGATAAGTTCGCGAGATGCGAGTGTGATGTCGACAGATCTCGTTTCACATTTACACATTGCAAAGCTTGCTCGCATAATAATTGCAACGTAATGTCTTACATGATCATCATGATGCGATCGAAGCATCATGAGAACGAGTATTTATTATATATTATATAGCAATATCTCTGAACTAAATGGAGCTTAGCGATAAGCTTAAAAGAACAAACCGAACCGTTTAATCTCATTTCGTATTGAACCGAAATTTACATACTGGACAAATAAAATCCAAGATCGGAATTAGATCGCGTTCAACGCGAAACTGTGGCGGGTCAATGTTTGCGAGCGTAAGACATCTATTTTGCATAAAAGTATCGGTATATTTCTCGTGAAACTGCTTCATAATTCCTTATTTAAGACAACTACAGAAGGGGGGGGGGGGTAAAACACTGCCCGAGTAGAAAGAATCCCTGATGTATCGATCAATAATTGATAATTCGCATGAAAATCACGATTCGTGATAGAATTTAAGAACGCTTTCATCTCTTATGAAATACTCTTCCATTTCCCTTTATTTCACCGGGTTTCAATGGACGACCAGTTTTTAACAACGTTGCATAAGCTATGAGCACGTAGTCCATGGTAAAACTTTGCTAATACACAATGATAAAAGTAAAAAAAAAAGATCGCAAAAAGTATTCCGGTATGGGTGGCGCGTCAGCAGTTTATGACTACCAGACACGTGTCTTTTCTATGTAAATGTATAAAAGTTTCCCATTTATAGATAAAAGTTAAAAAGTTATTCCTGCGGGAAATCGTTCGCGTAAGAAAACAAAAAACAATAAAATTTATCTCGAATGAAATAAGAAAGAACTTTTTATCATCTGCTTGCGCTTGAAATTTAATTTATAAAAAGCCTTAAATTTTTAATCACTTAACAGATAGAGACTTATTAGCATTGTAACATTTTGAGAAAAGAAAAATTATAAATTGCTTCAAAGATTTGTAGGTGTACGCGAAAAATCAATATGTAGTAAAAGAAATATAAATGTGCAATAAACGGATCAATAAGCGGTAAAAAATATATAAATACTTATTACACAATGGCAATTGTTGTAAAAGCTTCTACATTTTGCAGAATAGCCAAAAGTTTCAACTTCAGCTACTATTGCTTATATAACGCGGTTAATATTGTTTTCATTCTACGAAGAAGTTAATCTCTAACGAAAGCAGCATTATCTGCATTCGATTTCTTTAATTACAATATTGTTGTTAGAATAAATTTTTTTTCACGTCAGTGAAAATTGCATCATATTAATTTATAAACTAGAGACAGTTGGACTTGGGATGAAAAAGAATGGTTCGAGAAACACTCTCCTACAGGATTGTTGTTGTTATTTCCGATAATTATTGCGGTAACTCACTTGATAACCGTTTGCTTCATGCTGTTAGTCATCGCGACTAGATGTTCTCTGTGCCTCTCTCTTGCTGGGGTGTTCTTTCCCGATTCTCACTAGCACATAACCACACACTCTTCCGTCCTGCGTTCCTTCCTTTCGCGTCCCGGCTTTTAATTTAGCCGGGAGATCCGCGGTCGTTTCCGGAACGTTAACCGGAAACTTGTCGTGGTCGCTACGTTTTTCTCGTTCTTCCCTCTACTCGACGATTTTTTCCGAAAAAAAATCGAAGAGAAAAGGCGATCGTAGAGAGAGGGAGGTTGTCGCCTTCCTCCGAGATCCAGATACCAATCAGTTTGGACTGTTAGCGTCGGACTGAAGTAGCGCGCGCGCTTCTGCTCGTATTTAAACGTCCTCTCCCTCCCTACCGCGTCCTCTCTTTCCCTCTCTCTGTCTCTCTCTCTCGCATGCAAGTTCCCGCGTTTCCCTTGCGAGAGTATTTCACCGGTATGGAATTACCATGGAAATCTGAGAAAAATGTATTCAGCCCGCCCATTATTCCGCAGCCCAAAAGAAAAGAGATATAATTATAAAAAAGGTTTTAGACAAAATATGATCTTAGACAGAATATTTTGGAATCCGTGTAGTTTGGAGGTAACATAATTAATATAACATAAGACGTTTCAAGACATTCTCGTGGCATAGATCATGAAAAAATCTTTTCGAAGAAAAATCTCTGAATTTCTCTTTTCGTTTTTCTTTTCTCTCTCCTTTTTCGTTTTCTCCGTGTGTGATTATATATCGCATAAATATATATATTTCAAATAACACTTTTTATCATGAGTTACCGAGTTGTATTACGTGAGCTTAACGGTTCAAAGGTGCATTGGTTAAAATAAATTTGATAAAACAATGCGAGATGGTGAAAAAAATGTGGAGATCCGGTCTTAAACTGTGAGTTTAAGCTCTGGATGTTACTCACTCAGTCGATTTGAATAACAAGGGGATACTTCCTTATTAGTGCACTTGACAATTTCGATTTGTCGGTTCAGCTTAAGAAACGTCATGACGAATCTGACGTACGTTACAAACGAGCACTTTGAGAACTCTATTATGGTAAATGCAGAATTGTGGTCGTACGTGAATGTCATGACGTGATATTGCAAGAATTGTTAACAAGTTTAAACGTTACAAGAATTTTACGTTTCAGTCTGCCATTACGCTTACTTTACTTGTTTGAGAATATTCGTTAAGTACGTTAAGATATATTAAAGGATATCAAGATATTATTCATCAGTTCACGTGATAAGTTTGATTAATTTTGATGTGAAAGATGTCTAAAAAAAACTCTTATTCATTAATTCTAATTAAACTCTAAATAACTATTAAACAAGCGAAATTGATCAAGTTATATATTGACAAGCGTCGCGAAAATATATACTATTTATGGTAACTGCGAAATTAATAAAGAAAAGTATAAGTAACAATAGTCAAAAGTTTCCTTAATTTGATAGGATTTAGAAAAACAATTTTGTTGAAGATCAAAGTTTAATGACCGGTTTAATGATCGGTTTAATGACCAGCAAATGAGTTCATGAATAGTAAACGTTACTGAATTTAGCCGAGTATGGGGAACTTGGCTTAACACACTTCTTAGTATTATGCGTAAGTAGTAGTGGTAAGTAGTTCTCCGTTACAGAAACAACCACGAAACTCTTCAATAGTGCATTCTAAACAAGGACGGAAATCTCGCTTTTCAGAGCTCAGTTAGTAGGGCTTGAACTTATGTAAGTCGCGCGTGCAATCGTGGATTGCAGAGATGTAATGAACGATTTATGGCTTCGCAAATTGAAGGATAACTTTAATTTACAAAATCTCTCATCAAAGATGCAGAGAGAGAGAGAGAGAGAGAGGGGGGGGGGATAAAAATAAAATAGAAATTATTAATCACTTGTCTTAACTACAAATGAAGACACAACAATATAGGATTCGCAACCCCGCCACTCATTGCCGACAAGCTTTAAGAACGAAATTTTCGGCTAGAAATTAATGTACAAAAATTACTTGCTGTATGTAGAAACGTCGATAGCATGTTGCTTCAACGGGGAAACAATCGATACGCATGATCGCGGTTGATGATTTGTTCACCTTCACCTTCTTTCGTTCAGCCGTGTGACAAAAGTTTCTTTACTATTATCGCGAGTATAGTCTGTACAAGTTTTATTAAGGGTAATGACCAAGGGCGAATGCTAATTAGGTTACACGGCGTGGCGTAGAAACCTCGCTGAAACCTTTACGGTCGTCGCGGAATGCTTCTGCAATTTGTCATCCGTTTTTCTGCACGTGTCTTTGTACATTACGAATACGGCACGCTCTTCGTTCAAGCGAAATGTATGACTCGGCCGAGTGCTAATTAAATAACGTTACGAAAAACAATTCTTTTCCCCTGAATTGCAATACGACTCGATTCAACGTGTATGTATGTTATTTTCGTAACTGCTCGTATATCGAACTTTACTTATTTACATCGAAACTATTTCGTTCGAGGCAAAGATCAGGCGCCTTGATGCGTGGTTATTTCCGTCAATTGGCGTATTGGCCTATCGATTAGTTTTATAAAGCATTTAGCGAGAGAGAAAAAGAACAACGTATAATTTCTGTAAGTATTTATAAAAAATAATAGATTGGATCCAATTGAGAACCATTGTGACATTCTTCGTTTCGCTGTCGTTGTCGTCAAACTGAATGAGATTTTGCCTTGCGACAAAGAAACGTCTGCAAGATGAAAGTCGTACTGGAATAAAGTCAGCGAACGGTAGTGTGGAAGTGTGCCGATATTAATTAAGGAAATTCCATTGATTATCGGTTGACGGCGCCATTGTAAGGCGTTGTCAACCGATTGAAGGGAAAAAATTGATAGTATAGTATAGATCGCGCCGCGTCTACGCTCTCTAGAACATCCGTTCTAGATGCTGTCGTGATCTACAGCTTAGATTCTTGCGACTTTTTAAAATTATTGTCCGTACGTATCTTCGAGTGGCACAGCACTTTATTTGCAAGAGATACGCGCGAAACGATATAAAATAAATTGTTTGAGTTAACAAGAGAATTAAATACTTTTCAGTTAATAAGGTGAGACTAAATGGATACACGCGGTTAAAGATTCCTCGATCGCTTCTTGCTAACGAACTTGTAAATAATTAATCCGCAATGATTAAGTATAAATCTCTTGAGTAATATTTTATATAAATGTAAACTTCTAGATGGATAATATATTTCTTGTTTTACGCAACAGTTTTGAATAAAAATACAATTCTATCCGCGAGTGCGATAGCGCATCAAACAGGGAGATATGAGGTACCGTTAGCGTGGCATTAAAAAGATCGATATGTCAGGCAGGATTTGGGACGCAGATCGTACGAGAAACATTATTGGCATACTTATTGACATTAGTTAAACGATTGGAATGCGAATACGCGTAAAAAAATCTTAACAACATTAAGTCCCAATAAACTCACGCTGAAGTTTGAAAAGTGGGACAATAATCCGAAAAAGATCAGTTTACCGGACTGTCATTCTCTTCTTCGAGATAGAGGATGCTTTTTTTCAAAGTTCTTGTCTAATTCTTGTTCGCTAAAATAAAAAATATCGATCCTTTTTTTAAATTACGCACGTGCTTCGATTGTTAATATTTTATCGAAAAGCGAAACAATTTAACAAGTTTTGCGAAATAAGTGAATAAAACGTTTCATAACTTTTTGTTTCGAGAGAAAGAGAAACAGAAATTATACAGGGTGTCCTAAAACCACCGGAGGTCCTCTTATTGACAGATTCCTTAGAACATTTCCAGACGAAAATCCTAATACAAAAGTGTCGAGGCTATAATAGTTTTTAAATTAGAAGCGATTATTTTCCACAAATGATAGGGCTGAAATTTCGCGCGCTCAGGAACGGCGAAATGACAAGTGATATAAGTGCTCCTATGAATATCGTTCTTTTTATATCACTTGTCATTTCGCCGTTCCTGAGCGCGCGAAATTTCAGCCCTATCATTTGTGAAAAATAATCGCTTCTAATTTAAAAACTATTATAGCCTCGACACTTTTGTATTAGGATTTTCGTCTGGAAATGTTCTAAGGAATCTGTGATTAAGAGGACCTCCGGTGGTTTTAGGACACCCTGTATAAATATGAAATAAGCTTTTTCAGACATAAAA